AGTGCAGGCCGCTCACAGCCCAGCCCCGGGGACAGGAAGGGGAGTCTGGTCCTGATTGCTCCCTGGGGCAGGAGGGGTGGGTGGTGGTCAGGGCTCCTGTCTGTCAGGGCATTCTGGCCTGCTCAAGCGATCTCTCAGGTCTGAGAGCCACTGCTGTGGCCTCAGTTCAAAGGTGAGACCCAGGGAGGCCAAGTGACAGAGCTGCCTACAGACACCAGCAATCAAGTTCCCTGATCAAGTCTGGATTCTGTCACTTTTCCAACTGTGCGACCTGGGGCAGGTGACTTAACCCTTCATCCCTTAAAGAATTCACACCTACCTTTTAAGGTCATTTGAGGATTAAGCAAGACCCACTCTTTTTTTTTTTTTTTAATACCTTGAGACATGGTCTTGCTAAGTTGCTGAAGCTGACCTCAAACTTAAAATCTTCCTGCCTCATCCTCCCAAGTCACTGGAATGGCAGGTGTGTGCCAGCACTTCCAAAGTGCCCACACTCTGGGCACAGCAGATGTCAACAGTGACACTGTTACCTCTGGTCTCAAAGGGCTGTACTAGCTGGAGACCCAACAGTCCCAGCTTCTTGGAGCCCTCTCCTCTGCCTGCCAGAGGGCACTTCTGTTTGGACCTACCTCACTCAGAAATTGCTGGAAGCAGGGTCATACATCTTTTCTAGATCAAACTCCAGAGTGAGCAAGGCTGGGGGTGTTCCAGGTGCAGGTCAGGCTAGTTAGTGACCTCCTGCTGACCAGCAGGCCAGTCCCTAGAGCCATCCAGAGGGCCCAGTGCTCCTGGACACCAGTCAGTTGGCCTTATTGATCTATGCCAGGGGACACATGGGGACACTGAGGCTTAGCCGCCACAGTGCTTGCTCAGGCTGCTCAGACGACATCCCTTGAATCAGCTATCAGGCAGGAGGACAGTGCTGACCCCTGCTTGCCTGGACCTGTGTGGTTAGGAGTCTCTTCCCCTCGCCACCACCCCAGCACCCCCCTCAGCCACCAGCTGAGGAACATAAGGGGAAGTCCTGACTTCTGTCCTTGAATCGGCTTCACAGTGGCCCTGCTGAGAAGAGAAGCACATGTGGCTACAAAATGGGCTTCTGGGACTTCACTATTTCTGTCCACCACTAGTTCCCTCTGAAAGTGCGGGTTTCTCCCTTCCGAGCCAAGCTTCTCAGAAACAGGGGGTTGGAGAACCCCAGATCAGCAGCCATGCCCAGGCCCCTCACCCCTGTGCACCCAGTCCAGCCACTTCTTTTCCTGTCCTCCTTCCTCAGGCCTGAGTGACCCCACACCCCCTACAGGCCCCAGCTTGGACGGTGCTGGATGGAACAGCTTCCAGGTAGGAGTGGCCTGGACAGCCCCACTTATCCCAGCCCCTGGGGCAGTGGGGCAGGGGGACAGGGAGGAGCAGCCTGAGGGTGACAGTGAAGGGACCTTGGGCTCCCTGGTGGCACACCCAGGGAAGAGAAAAGCAGTTTGTCCTGTCCTCGCTGTTGGCTACGTCACACCCAGGTCCTAGCCTTGGCTCTCCCTTGGGGCATTAGCCCAGTCTTGGGGTCCCTGGATGGTGACTTTGAAGTACCTGGAATGTGGAGTCCCCAGCCACTCAACCTCACGACAGGGCCGGGACCCTGTCCCCTCCTCAGGAGCCCCTCCAACCGCTTTCTTTGCCCCACAGTCCTCAGACGGTGCTGAGCCTCCAGCCCCTGCTTCAGCCCAGGTCCCCAGCACGGACATCCGGCCGCCAGGACAGATGCCCCTGCCGGCCAGCAGTGGCCTGGATGACCTGGACCTCCTGGGGAAGACCCTCCTGCAGCAGTCACTGCCCCCAGAGGCCCAGCAAGTGCGGTGGTGAGGGCTGCCTTGCCGACTCGGGAGGGAGCCTCCGTCCCCTCAGACCAGCCGCTTTGGGCCTGCACGGGCCCCGCAGGAAGGCTCGTCGTTCCCAGAGTGACCAAAGCAGGCTCAGTGAAGGTTCCAGAGTGGAGTTTATGGAGAGAATCTGTGCCCACTCACATGTCCCCAGAAGTCCCCAGCAACAGGAAGGACACAGAGCTAAAGTGGGCAGGTGGGGGGGGGGTGCCGGGGGAACAGGAGCTGGCCATTCTACTGGCGAGGTGACCGACGGCCAGAGAGAGAGTGATGTGTGGGGATGGGCCAGGAAGCCCAGCCTTTCCTAGTCCCCTGATCTCCTGACCACCAAAGAGTCACTTTTAACACACTGTTCCCCAATAAGGGAGAAGCAGCAGCCAGCCCCCCGGCTCACACTCCGGGACCTGCAGAATAAGAGCAGCTCACCCAGCCCCAGTGCCGCCAGCCTCCTCCACGCCGTGTCCCCAGAGCCCCCTGGGCCTCCACAGCAGCCCCTGCCCACTGAGCTCTCACTGGCCAACATCACTGTGCCCCTGGAGTCCATCAAACCCAGTGAGTGGGGCAGGGTGGGAGGGGGAGGCCGGGCCAGGTCAGTGGCTGCCCCCTGGGCCCTGCCATTGGCCACCTCAGTGGGGAGCACTGAGCAGGCCTTTCCTCCTGGAGCCCAGAGCAGTTGCAAAGCTGCTGCGTGAGCCCAGGTCCTGCAGCCGGGGCTCCTGGGAGACAGACCCTGGCCCGGCTCCCCAGGAAGGCAGGAGTCGGGATACAAAGGTTTGGGCCCCAAGATTATGAAACCAAACTGTAATAAAAATGCAGGTCCAAGCCTGGGACCTGTCCCCCAGGAGCACTTGGAGGCCACTGCCCAGCACCAGGTCCTGAGAGGGCTAGCTGTCCTCTCATCCTGGCCGTCTCCATGAGCTCACTGTGACCCAGGGTATCACGCCCTCCATGTCCCTGTCTTACCAGTAGGAAGACAGCTCAGAGAAGGGGAGTAGCGGGGTCACAGTGAGTGTGTGACCCAAACTCGGCACAGCCCTTTGCCCCAGCTGGGAGCCACAGGGCTCTGCTGCAGGGGCGTCCTGCCCCTGTCTGCGGACCAGGCGCACTGCTGCCCGGCGGAGGCAGGCTGGGTGAGGGGTTCGCTCGCTGGGGAGCCCATCGTCCCCCCTTCTCTCCACAGGCAGCATCTTGCCCGTGACCGTGTACGACCAGCATGGCTTCCGCGTCCTCTTCCACTTTGCCCGCGACCCGCTGCCTGGGCGAGCTGACGTGTTGGTGGTGGTGGTATCCATGCTCAGCACTGCCCCCCAGCCCATCCGCAACATCGTGTTCCAGTCAGCGGTGCCCAAGGTGACGCTGCAGGGCTGGGCTGGGGAGCCCGCTCCCTGAGGACAGGCAGGGACAAGGTCTCCCTTCTTTGCTGGGGTAAAAGGGAGCCAAAGGACAGAGTCCCTCAGCGGGGAGCTGGCCTGGTTCCTCGGGCCATGGGAGGTGACCGGGGCTAGCTGTGCCGTCTGCCCTCCTGCCACAGGTCATGAAGGTGAAGCTGCAGCCCCCCTCAGGGACGGAGCTGCCGGCGTTCAACCCCGTTGTCCACCCCTCAGCCATCACTCAGGTCCTGCTCCTCGCCAACCCCCAGAAGGTGAAGGGCCCAGCTGAGCCGGGCCGGGCTGTGGGCGGGGGCCACCTCTCCTCCCCTAACCCTCCGCCTTCGCCATCTGCCCAGGAGAAGGTCCGCCTGCGCTACAAGCTCATCTTCACCATGGGCGACCAGACCTACAGCGAGATGGGCGACGTGGACCAGTTCCCCCCGCCTGAGACCTGGGGCAGCCTCTAGAACAGAGGGGCTGGGGAGAGGAGAGGACAGGGGCCAGCGCTGTGCAGCCTGGGGAGAGGCTGTGGTGGCCTGGACACCCTCTGTTCTCCGTGGCCATGTGCCCCTGGCCTGGTGCTTCTCCCCCCACCCTGTGGCCCCAAGTGACTCTTCCCCTCCTGCTTCGCCTCCCCACCTGCTGAGCCAAACCCAGCGGGAGGTTGGGCCTGGGTTCGCACCACCAGGGTCCCCCAAAACTGGTGGGGTCCTGGAGCAGGGAGGGCTGCCCAGCCATGGAAGGACTGGAGTCTAAGGGAAGAAGCCTGGCCATCGGGCCCAGCCCTGACCCCAGCCCGGGTGGGGTCTTCCCCACCTGTCTCATGCCTTATGGGAAGGCCCAGCCATAAACGGGAGGTCAGGCTGGAGCTGGGGACCAGCCAGGCCTCCTCATAGGAACCCAGTGACTGGGGGACACCCGTGCCCCCACTGTTTGCACTCTGCTGTGTGGTTTGGCTCCTTTGCTTTTCTTTCGGAGTAGCCGGTGGCTGCAGCCCAGGCCCTGCCTCCTGGGGGCCTCTCTTCACTGCGAGGTCTCTAGAGGGACTGTGGGAGCCCGGGGTGAGGCCGGAGGGTGGCCCAGGCAGGGCTCCCTGAGCTCTCGTTCGTCTGTGCTGGGCCTCCTGGGGCGCCTCACGCCTGGCCACCCATCTGCCCACGGTCAGCAGTGGCGGGGGCGGGGGCGCAAGTATTTATGAAAATAAAACGTCCTTGTTCCTGGACCAGCCGCTGTCTTGGCCCTACTGAGGCTGATGGAGAGAGGAGGGGTCCTGGGGCTGCCTGTGAAACTCTGTCACCATCTTGGGAGGTCAGCCATGGTGTCATCGTCCCCCCCCACCCCCCTTGCCCAGAAGAGGCCCTGCTCAGGGGCCTGTGGCTGCTGAGCCACCAGAGCGTCCCACCCAGCGGTGGGGGGCGGGGCTGCTGGGAGCTGCTGCCTGTAGGGGAGTCCTATGTGAAGGGGGGACTGCCCTCAGCACTTCCTCCTCCTGAGCTCAGCCCACAGGGCCACACCGCCCTGGAGGGACCCTGAGCCCCAGCTCCCCTAGGCCCATGGTCTGTGCAGAGATGGGCCTGGAACCCCAGCAGGAGGCCATTCCCCAGCTGCAGCTTACCCCCACCCAGGGTGGCCAGGGTGCAGACCCCGAGCAGGCAGAGGCCACGAGGTGAGGAGACCCCAGACCCGCCTGCCATCCTGAGCTGGGGTTCTCTTGTGAAGGGGAGGCTGGCCATCACCTCTCAGCAGACACACTCCCTAAGGACCTGGGAGATCCTACATTTATTTAAGAAACCAGTTTTACTTTGTCGAATCCAGTGTTTTCCTGGTCTGAACTTGGCTGCTGAGCCCTGTCCACAGAGAACAGCCAGGTCCACGCTGGTGGTGCAGGGTGACAGGAGACACGTCCCCACTGGGGCCTCTTCCCTATCAGATCTCCACAGTGTGACTCGTGCCTGTGTCCCACCTGAACAGGGCCGTGTGATCTCATCCTGCTGCCCTTCCCTGAATGCTCCGACACCTCCAAAGTAACCGCAGTTGGAAGGTGCCCACCTGGAGTCTCAGGGTCACATCTCAATCATACTGTCCTACTGTCCCTGAAGGGCTTCAGGTTGGCTTGGAGACAGCATGGTGGGCTTAGAGTTGGGGCTGGTTCCAGCTGCTGTGCTGGTGCTGGCCTGCCGTGTGACTACTGGACGTGCTTCCCTTTCTGGCCCTGAGGTCTCTTGTTTGAAAAGGTGGGAGGGACCCACTGGGCCTAAAGGCCCTTCAGAAGAGTCCCTGAGCCAAAGGACCCAGGCAGTTAAGGGACAGGGAATCCCTTCAACCTCAGACCCTCTGCCCTCCTGTCCTTGTCCACCCATTGCTGCCCACCAGGCCAGTCTTGTTGGAGTGCCCCAGTGCAAGGCAGGCCCGGTCCTCAGCTCATGCTGGCACCCTAGGGTTGGGGCAGGGCAGGACATGGGCTAATAGCAGTCTGAGGGTCCCAGCAGTTTCTGACCAGAGGAGGGGCTCTTGTCCCCACCGCCTGGAAGGCCCTGTGTGGCTTCAGGCAGGCCTGGAGTTGGACTGGGCAGGGTGCTCAGGGGAAGCAGCTCTTCTCCTGAAGGGTGACCCCCACCACCATGCCAAGACCATGGGACTTCCTGTCATGGAAGCCACACTCTGGCCACCGTTAGGCCAGGGCAGCAGTTAGTCTTTTGGTAACCACGGCATACTGCTCACCTGTTCAGATGCCAAGAGCAACGGGGAGCGCTCCCCCGCTCCCTCAGTCTCTGCAGCCTCATAGCCAGGGCGCAGGACCCAGGAGGCCAGCCTGGCCCAAGGCCACACCTGCAGCCCCTCCATGAAGTCTCAACTCCCCTGGGAAGACAGGAACTGAGGCTTGGGCCAGCTCTGGAGGTCACACATGCAGAACCTGGGGTCTGCACCAACAGTCTAGAGAGGAGCTGGCCACCAGGCGCACGGCACTCCCGGCCCCGGAGCCTGCTCCTCCAGCCTCTGTCAGCCCTGACTTTGGTCCTCTGGAGCCGGGGGCAAGGGCACACACTATCCCGGGGCTACTGATGGGAGGCCTTGTGCCTCAGCCCCACCTGAGGGTTCCTGGAAAGTCCTTTGGCTGGGGGCGAGGGCAAAGGAGTTCTAGAATCCCAGAGAGCACACTGGTGCCCAGCTGCTCTGGGCAGAGGCCACACAGCGCAGTGCCAGGCTGACCACAAACTAGCAATTTGTACAAGTGTCTCAGATGGGATGCTGCCCCCGCCACTGCCGACCTCACAGCAGCCGCTGCCCCGCCTGCACCCTGCCTCCCCACAGACACCTCTCTGTCACACATTTGTTGGTGCAGGAAAATCCGTGCCAAGACCGCGGGGCCCCTCCAAGTGGCCACAGGTTGAAGCAGGGGCGAGGGCCAGTACTAATGGAGTTTCCAGGCGTTGCCACCACGGAAAGGAAAGCAACTGTGGGCTTTGGGGCTGACATCTGCCCTCTACCACTCAGCCAGCAAGGGGCCCTGGCCAGTAGCAGCAATCTCATCTGTAAAATGGGGACAAAGACAAAGCTCACTGGAGGATGTGCTAAGGACTGTGGGAGGCAGCAGACTCATCTCAAGGGCGACCTAGGAGGAGTGGGGTGAGGGCTCCTTCCACTCGGGGCTTTCGGTGGGCTGGATAATAAAGGAAACCAGAAATGGCCCAGGCACTTTTCTAAGCATTTTCCATATTAATCTGTTTAAGCCTCCCAGCCCCCATGGTCCATCTTACCATGGGGACACCGAGGCAGGGGGTGAACCATCTTGGGCAAGATGGCCTCAGACCAGCTCCATGGCCCGCTACAGCTCTATCCTCACAGTGGTTGATGCCAGGTCCTCTCTTGCCATTTGGGTGGACTATGTCCACAGGGCTCCCAGGACTACACACACTGCTGGGCTCCCAGGGATTCTGCATGGGCCAGATGAGTGCCAGGACTCCCCCCAGGAGGAGACACAACCTGGTGTAGAGCCAGGTAAGCCACAGGCCCCTTGGTTAGGAAAGGACGTGGGAGGGGTCAGCTGGTGACCTCTGAGGCCTTTCCGCACCTGCATTTCTTTTTGTTTTGTTTTTGTGGGGCTGGGGATTGAACCCAGGGACTTGTGCATGTGAGGCCAACACTCTACCAACTGAGCCATATCCCCAGATCCCACACCTGCAATTTCTAAAAATTCCACAATCCCTGTGATCCCAGCATTCACTGATGGAAACCGCATCTGATCACAACATCTTTCCAAGGACAGCTTCAGACCCAAGCTCTGGGGCTTCCAGCCTTCTATGACTCAACAGCCCCGCGTGACATGAGAGGCCCTAAAACACACCGGTCGTCCAGTCAAGAGGTACAGCAGCCCAGGCCAGGTCAGAACCAGAAGTCTCCTGGGTCAGGCTAGAGGGGAACCTGGATCCCTGGCTAGAGGGGACGGCCTGATACGATGCTGGCTGTTTCCACAGAAGCTGCAGCTAAGTCCATGTGGACGGGTCCCCTCCTAGACCAAGCCAGGCCTCACCCTCAGGAACCTTCAGACCAGATGAGTAGCTGGACAAGCCCAAGTCCAATGTGGTTTGGGCTGGAGGTTGAGCTAGCTGAGGGCAGGAGCATGGTGGAGCCCAGAGACTTCCCCAGGGTGGGAGAGCTGGCACCTGAGATCAGGCTGCCAGCCTGGGAATCTTCAGCTTCCCAAGGCTGTGCCCAACAGGTTGTGCCCATTGCAGAGACAAGAAAACTGAACCACAAGGAAGTTCTAGGATCTGGCTAGTGGGAAAGGTGGAAGGGAAGGACCAGAACCCCGACATCCAAACCCAGGCCCACAATATGCACTTGGCTCACCAGGGCTTCCCCACACCCTCCCCAGGATCCCTGGCCAGAAGCCTTCCTGGGGGGGAAAGGAGGTGGGGAGGGATCCCCTCACCCAGACCTGAGCCTTTGATCCTGGGGCCAGGATGCCACTCAGGTGGGCTCCCAGCTGGGAGCAGCTGCTGGGTTCCATCTCAGTTCCTCCAGCCTCCATGGGGCCTGCCAGACCCTCCTTCAGGGACTGGAGGGCGGCCAGTTTCCAGTGAGCACTCTGTAGGTACCAGGCCCTGTTCTGGGCACTAGGAATGTGGAGATGTCTGAAGCCAAGGTGCTCCCACCACAGACAGTAGGCGCTGGGCAGAGCTGGAACAGAACAGAAACTGACTTCATGAAGTGGAGGGAGCTGGGGCCTCTCCCGCACACCCTCCCCTGATGCCTGCCGGCCACATTGGGAAGGGAAAGGACAGCCCTTTCTCAGTGGCTCTTGTCCTGTATAACCAGCCGTTACCGAGTACCTGCTGGGCAGGCCAAAGAGCTGACTCCGGGAAACAGCGCCCACATCGTCCACTTACAAAAGGGCAAGGGCAGGAGTTAGGGACGTTTGCCAGGAGGAATGAGAGGAGAAGGGGCTTTACAGATGCAAGAAATTGTCCCTGCTGAGGTCCTCCACAGGGGGACAAGAGCAGGAATTGGGAGGCTGGAGGAGCAGATGGGCGGGGTCAAGACAGCAGTGCACTAGGGACAGGGGCGCAGAGTGCCAGGGACTTGTCCCAGGGTAACAGCAGCCGGTGGTCCCAGAAGTCAAAGCTCCCAGCCCGCCAGCCAGCAGGGGCAGCCGGGACAGAGGTGCTCCGGGACAGGGAGCCGGGGCCGCATCCCTCTGCCGGCCCCAGGGACAGCACGGGTCAGAGAGGCCCCTGTCCTGGGCCTCCCTCCCAGCCGCGGAGCCCTCCTTCTCCTTGAGAGGGGTGCAAAGGTTGTTTGTACCCGAGGCCCGCGGCGGCGGAGGGCGGTGGCGGCCGCGGCTTACCTGCTTCCCGCCACGGGCGGGGCCAGGCGGGCGGGGAGGAGCCGGGCGCACGACCTGGGGACCGCGGGCGGCCGGCCGGCGGGACACTCGCGGGGCGGCCGAGCGAGGGTCGTGGGGGGCCCGGAAGCCCGGGGAGAGCGGGACGACAACTTGGAGAGAGGAGTGACCTGGGGGCCGGGGGCGGAGTCGGCGGGAGGAGGCAGCCGGGGCGCGCGGCCCAGGAAGCCGAGCGCCGCCCACCCATCCGGGCCAGGCGGCGCGGGAGGCAGCGCCGGCGCCCGCCCCGACCCCCGCCGCGACCCCGCGCCCAGGCCGGCCCCACGATGATGAAGCGGCAGCTGCACCGCATGCGGCAGCTGGCCCACACGGGCAGCTTGGGTCGGTGAGTGTCACCCGCTTCCAGCCCCGCTCTGGCCCCGCAGGACCCCAGAGGGCGCGGAGGGTGGGGGACGGGTGGGGGAGGCGGGGACAGCTGGGCAGCCGCCCTCCGGCCGCCAGAACCCTGCCCTCTCCTCCCCACCGAGGCCGCCGACTCCCAGGCAGAGCTGGCCTCTGGGGAAGGGGCGCCCCAGCCCCGATTGGAGGGGGCTGCTCGGGGGAGACCGCCCCGACCAGGGACCTGGCTCTTCTCTGCCTCCGCAGCCTCGAAGTGATCGTCCTCCCTGACCTCACTTGTGCCCTCTGGACAATGGGGACAGTTAACCACTTCTGGCTGTTAGGTGGGGGAGGGACCCAGACCTTGCGGCAGGGGAACAGACCCTGTCCTGGTCTGGAGAGAAGCCGCTGTCCCTGTCCTGCCCCCTCCTGTCCCCTCCGCCTGCCCACAGGCCTCCTGCTTCTTGGTCCTGCTTCTGCTTTTCTCCAGCCCAGGTGGAAATGTCCCCTGGTCTCCCTGCGCCCTCCCCCAGCTCCTGAGCTGGCGGAGGAGCAGAGGCCGGAAGTTTGGGGAGACTCTGAAGGCCTGTCCTCGGCTCCTTCCCCAGCTGAGTTCCCCATTCTGTGGTCCCAGGGGAAGGGACCGCGTGTCCAGAGACCAGTTCTAGTCTCATACTGGCACAATCGCCTGTGTGCGCCTGGGCAGCCAGGCCACCCTTCGAGGGGCCTCAGCGTCCCTGTGTGTCCCCCAGCGGGGACCCAGAGGCTGCCCGCCCCTGCCCACAGCTACTGTCCAGAGTCTCCTGTGCCCAACAGCCCAGAAGTCCCCGCTCCCACACTTCCCATTCTGGGGCCAGCCTAGGCCTCCTCTTTCCGGGCAGGCTGACAGTCTGCAAGGCGGGCAGAAGAGAGGCCTTGCCCCTGCCACCCACAGCCGGGCCCTGTGGCCCTCCCACCCACTCAGGACACAGCCCCGGGTGGAGGAGGAAGTCATGTATCCTCTTCCACCCCTTGGAATGTGCTCCAACTGGGATGAGGCAGGCAGGCCACCCAGCGTGGCCCCACCTGGGAGGGGCACTGGAAGCAACTGGGGTCCCTGTGCCCTGTGGAGGGTGGGGCAGGGAGGCAGGGGTTCCGCAACCTGCTCCACATCAACTGTCCCCTCCCTGCAGCACTCCTGAGACTGCCGAGTTCCTGGGTGAGGACCTGCTGCAGGTACGTGTCTGGGCCCGCTGAGGGAGGCAGGCCTGAGCAGGCTGCCTCAGAAAGGCCCTTGGGGACACTGGCTGGGCCCCACTGGAGTCATTCCCCTTGCTGTTGGCTGCGGGGTCGCAGGAGGAGGAAAGAGAAGGGAGTTTCTGCTCTAGGGAGGACAGCCACCCGCGGCCCACAGCCACCTCTCCCTCGCAGGTGGAGCAGCGCCTGGAGCCCGCCAAGCGAGCAGCCCACAATGTCCACAAACGGCTGCAGGCCTGTCTGCAGGGCCAGAGTGGGGCCGACATGGACAAGCGGGTGGTGAGTGGGGGTTCCTGGGAGGACCCAGGCAGGAGGTTTCTGTCCAGTGCAGGGGCAAGGTCAGGGCTGGGCTCTCCCTTGCCAGTGTGAACCTCTGCACCTAGGTCAAGAGACTGCTGTCCCAAGGCCCCTGGGGAGGTACCTCACTCCTGAAAGCCCTGGCTTCCCCATCCCTTCCTGGCCCTGCCCCTCTGCACCATCCCTGTGGGCCCCCCCGCTGGCCTCTGACAGCACCTGAACATTTCTGTCCAATCAGCTCACAGAGCAATCTCCCTGGGCAGCCTTGGAGGGAGTGGCTTTCATGCTGGATTTTGAGGGACACTCGCTGGTGTTATCTTGATCCCGCGATGCCACTCTGCTGCTAAGACATGATCAAGCCTGTCTCTCACGGGGTGCTGAGAGCCCCAGTGGGAGATGCTATTTACAATGAGGAAAATAGGCTTAAAGTCCCTCACCTAAGATCACACAACTAGCAAGGGACAGAAGTCCGGTCTGACCTTTGGTCTCTGATCCCAAAGCTAGGTGCTGTCTGTCACTCCAGGTGGGAGAGTGGGGGAGTCAGTCAACAGTTTAATGTGGCCAGAACATGGGGTTGGCAAGAGGGTGCCGTGGCAGGTTTGAGCTCAGCACTCAGAGGTGGCCAGGTCAGCCAACTGTTACACCCTGGGGCAGGGGAAAGAGTCCCACTCCAAGGCTAGCTCCTCCTTTTTTCCCTCCAACTGTGTGACCTTGGGTAAGTTCCCTACCCTCTCTGTGCAGTAGTTTCCTAGTCCTTGATGGGACTTTGGGATTCCTTCCTGCCCAATTAGGTGACTTCTAGAAGGGAGGGAAGGGGACCTCAGATAGGGGTTCTGTACGTGGTTATAGGGAGACGTCACCTGTTCGTCCCTGTCATTCAGTCTTCACCACCCCCTGTGTCTGGCCCTCTTGGTCCCTCCCCCTGCCTGGGGCTTGCCCGAGGGAGCTCAGGCAGGGTGGGGGGGCAGGTGCCCTCATGCTCACAGCCCACCCCACATTCCCTGCAGAAGAAGCTTCCCCTCATGGCCCTGTCCACCACCATGGCCGAGAGCTTCAAGGAGCTGGACCCGGATTCCAGCATGGGGTGAGCAGAGAGGACCCCACCCTCATCTGAGGATACTGGAAAGTGATCCTAGGTTGGGAGGGGTCCAAGTCGGCAAGAGCATCCACACCAAAAGGTGACCGGCTGGGGACAGGGTCCCATTTGGTGAGGGTGGCCAGGCCTGAGAGAGCCTGGAGGAGGGGCCCCACCAAGTGCTTCCAGGTGGGGCGAGGGCTGCGGGACTCTGGCCCACGGGCGCTGTTCCACAGGAAGGCCTTGGAGATGAGCTGTGTCATCCAGAACCAGCTGGCCCGCATCCTGGCCGAGTTTGAGATGACCCTGGAGAGGGATGTCCTGCAGCCACTCAGCAGGCTGAGTGAGGTGACCCTGTCCCCTGCGCCAGGTCCCACCCTCCCCAGCTCCCAGCTCCCTCCCTCTGCCCACCGAACCTTCCCCTCCCTGCGCAGGAGGAGCTGCCAACCATCCTTAAGCACAAGAAAAGCCTGCAAAAGCTGGTCTCCGACTGGAACACCCTCAAGAGCAGGTAGGGCCGGGGCCTGGGTCAGGCCACAGCTCTGAGACCCCTACACACTAGGAGACTGCAGGGCCCCCTGGGTAGTGTGTGCTTGGGCCCATGGCTGGTCTGTGGGAACACGTGTGGGGAGGGTACATGAGAGGCTGTGTACGTGCTGGTGACAGCCAGTGTCACGGGAATCCCAGTGTCACGGTGACCCCTAGGAAACCTGCAATCTCCAAGATCCCTGGATGGCAGGAGGCCCATCCTGCTCCCTGAGTTTAGTGGTTGTAATCACCACACCCAACACCAGGGGTCGCCCCAGAGCACTCTCACCCAAGCCAGGAACCCTAGAAAGCCGTTGGTCAGGTGTGCGGAAGGGACCCTTGGCTCTGGACATGCCATGGGGCTGGTGACCACCCCCCGTTGGGATCACCCCCAGGCTCAGCCAGGCAGCCAAGAACTCAGGCAGCAGTCAAGGCCTCGGCGGCCCAGGCGGCCACGGCCACCCCACCACAGCCAACAAGGTGGAGACGCTCAAGGAGGAGGAGGAGGAGCTGAAGAGGAAGGTGGAGCAGTGCAAGGTGAGGGCACCGGGCGCAGGGTGGCAGCATGGGCACTGTCCCCATTCACAGATGAGGAAAGGAAGCTCAGAGAAGTGACATGATTCTCCAAGGCGGCAGAGCTGGGATCCAGGCAGAATCTGCTCGGCCACCACCTCGTGGGCACCACTGTCTGCACCATGCCAACCCCCGGGAGGCGGGACGCGGTGTGTTTGCTGATGAGTGAGTGACGGGACGATTGCCCCAGCTTCACCTGGCATACACCCTCCCCTCTCTGTCCCAAGGATGAGTACTTGGCGGATCTGTACCACTTTGCCACCAAGGAGGACTCATATGCCAACTACTTCATTCATGTGAGTCCAAGGCCCGGCTTCGCCATCTGCCGCTCGGTGGGTGGAAGAAGGGCCAGGGCCTGCGGTGGGGCAGGGGATCCGCTCTGTGGATCTTTCTCAGCTTCCCTCACTTCCCTCGGGGATGTCTGTCTGTCCCCACAGCTCCTGGAGATTCAGGCTGATTATCATCGCAGGTCACTGTCTTCACTGGACACAGCCCTGGCTGAGCTGAGGGACAATCACAGTCAAGCAGGTGGAGACATGGCTGGTCAACCCCACACCCCCAACTGTGCCCTGCCCAGAGCCAGTTAAGAAGCTTGCACCTCATCCTGAAGGGCAATAGGGAGTCATGGTTGAGTTTGGAGCAGGGGCAGTCTGGGTCAGGTTTGTGTGGACGGGTTGCTCGAGCCACTGTGAGCCTAGGAGTCAGAGGGAGGAGAGGGGCCTGGCCTAGGCAGAGGCAGTGGCCAGTTCAAGAAGTATCATGGGTGCTTTCAGTGTGTGTGTGGAGTAAGGGGTAAGGTGATACCACCTTGAGGATACTGGGGTGCCTGTCTACCCTGGGCCTCTGACCAGTCTCATCCCTGCAGACTCCTCCCCTTCGATGACGGCCGCCCCCTTCTCCAGGGTGTATGGGGTGTCACTGGCAAGCCACCTGCAAGAGCTGGGCCGGGACATTGCCCTGCCAATTGAGGCCTGCGTCCTGATGCTGCTCTCTGAGGGCATGCAGGAAGAGGTGGGACCACTGGGGCAGTGGGGGGCTTTAGGATTTAGCATTGGGACTGTTAGGCAGCCCTGTCCTGGGGCTGTCATTCCCCGGTTAGAGCACGGGTCCCCAGAGAAGGCCCGGACTCCTACTACTGAACCGACAGCCTCTACTTTGCAAGGGGGAAATGGAGGCAAAGAGGAAAACCTGCCCAGAGTCACACGAGGAGGTGTCATTGCTGCCAGGAGCTCCACAGTGCCGTCACTGTCACATGCTGGCCCATATCTGTCCCCTGCACCTTAGCATTGTGGGTACCTTGGCCCTTTCAGCCCATGCTGGGCCTCCCCTCTACCCCCGCTCCTCGCCAGACTCCTGTCTCACAGCTTTCCCCTGGGGTTCAACCCTGCCTCTTGCTCAGAATTATGGGCTTTGAGAGCTGGAAGGTCCACAGACCCTGTGGTGTGCACCCGCTGACCAGCCAGCGGCGACACCGAGGACAGTGGGGGCCTGCAGCGGAGGCCAGGGCCTCCCGGCCACCAGCCTGTGCGTCCTGCCGGCCCCCTGTCCACCCTCACCTGCTGCTCTTGCCCCGCAGGGCCTCTTCCGTCTGGCCGCTGGGGCCTCGGTGCTGAAGCGCCTCAAGCAGACGATGGCCTCGGACCCCCGCGGCCTGGAGGCGTTCTGCTCAGACCCCCACGCCGTGGCAGGTGCCTGCTGGAGGGAGTCCTGGGCAGGAGCGGGGACATGGGGATGGGGCACAGCTGCCTGAGACAATCCCATGACAGTTTGGCTTTAAGATCTCTCTTCACCAAGAAGACACCCAAGGACACTTGGGGCTCCTGTTGGTGATGACTCCCCTGAAGTACATTCTCCCAGCATCAGGATCACTAAACATTTTGCCAAACGGGTCTGAGGCCCCAAGAAACTCTCAGGCCTGGACATGTCGATGTGACACACGGAGAGCTGGGGCCTGGGGGTGCAGAGAGGCCATTTGGGGGCTGCCTCTGAACTTACCCTGCTCCTGCCAGGTGCCCTCAAGTCCTATCTTCGGGAGCTGCCAGAGCCCCTGATGACCTTTGACCTCTACGATGACTGGATGAGGGCAGCCAGGTGAGGACTTGGGGTGGAGAGGAGGCGGCTACAGAGGCTCAGCCTTGGGCTCAATGGCTGCTCTCCCTCCTCAGCCTAAAGGAGCCTGCGGCCCGGCTGGAGGCCCTTCGAGAAGCCTGTCACCGCCTGCCCCAGGAGAACCTCAGCAACCTCAGGTGAGCCCGGGCCACCTCCACCTCTGGCCGTCCCCAAGTTGAGTCTAGTCCCAGAGACTAGCTGGGACTCAGGAGCCCCGGGCCTCCGTCCAGGTCTGTCACTGTGTCCCAGGCAGTAGTTCTGAAAACAGCTTAGGTGTACTGGACATACATATATTTTAATACTATTATTGAAATAAACGAATCCTACACCCCTAAGCCACGCCCCTGCCACTGCTGGCCCTGGGCAGGAAACTTGGTGTCAGCACCTGGTCATTAAGTCCCTGCCTCAAGGGTAGCTGGGAGGACTCTCATCCTAGCCCTTGCCAACACAGTTGGGCCAGCTAAACTATTAAAACGTTTAAAATCAGCCAGGCGCAGTGGCGCACACCTGTGATCCTAGTGGCTCAGGAGGCTGAGGCAGGAGGATCTCAGGTTCAAAGCCAGCCTCGGCAACTTAGCAAGGCTCTAAGCACCTTAGTAAGACCCAGTCTCTAAATAAAAACTAAAAAGGGCTGGGGACGTGGCTCAGTGGCAGAGCGCCCCTGGGTTCAACCCCCAGGACTGTAAGAGTGAGACAACAAAAACCCTGTGAAGCCCCCTGTTTGGAAACCCTGGGCTGGGAAGTCCTCGGGACTTAGGGGCATCAGTGGGTGTCCGTGGCCCAAGATGCTCTGCCCGGCCCAAGCCAACCTCCTGCCCCAGGTACCTGATGAAGTTCCTGGCACGGCTGGCCGAGGAGCAGGAGGTGAACAAGATGACGCCCAGCAACATCGCCATCGTCCTGGGGCCCAACCTACTGTGGCCGCCTGAGAAGGAAGGGTGAGGGCCGAGGGCCGGGGGACCAGGAGGGAGCAGTCCCCTCCCCAGCCACCTGCTGTTTACCTTGCTGGGCCTCAGTTTCCCCACCATGGAGTGGGTTGAGCATCTCCTATTCCCAAGTCTGCTGTGAGGAGAAGCCCAAAGGGACTAGGGACCCCACAGAGCTTTGGAAACAGGCATTCTGGGGACTGGCGGTGATGGGTGGTTGACAGCCTGGTGCTGCAGGTGGGAGTCCAGAGCTCCTGTTCTCTCTCCACCCCACCGTCCAGATGGGCCTTGGGAAGTTACCCTGTGGACCTCCACTTCCCCGTCTGCCAACTGGGGAGAAATTATACAGACTTCCAAGGTTTTATTGGGGGAACTAGATGAGATAATGAATGGGAAATGTTTTATAAACTGTAAAGTGCTGACAGGAGAAGAATCATCATTACATAAGGGGCCACAGACAGCACAAAGATTTCGTCCCAAGTACTGAAATCGATTGCGTGGACCCAAGACTTGTGGGGAAGGGGCCCGTGATCGCCTAGTGATGTCTGTCATGAGTGAAGGACAGGGAAGTGATCCGTTTGCCTTCAACGGATGGTCTCTGAGCTTTCTGAGAATTGGGACTTCATCTGTATGTCCTCAGTGCCCAGCACAGGGCCAGAGTTGGGGCCACTGAAATGATACCTAGTGGATGACCCTCTGCATCCCCCGTGTTGTGCCAGGGACCAGGCCCAGCTGGACGCGGCCTCCGTGTCTTCCATCCAGGTGGTGGGCGTGGTCGAGGCGCTGATCCAGAACGCAGACACCCTCTTCCCTGGAGGTGAGTGCTGTCCTCGGGAATGCCTCCGTGGTCACCTGCCTCCCAGCCCTGGGCCCCGAGACCATCCTCAGTCCTCGGGAGCTCATCCGGAGCCTCCTCTACCCCGAGCCTCAGTCTCTCTTCTGAGCAATGGGGGTGATCCCATCGACCTCTTGGGACTGTCACCAAGCTCATGTGGGGTGGGAGGTGAAGCCCAGGTCCTTCACAGGAAGGGAGGGTGGCCCTGACCCTGAGAGGCCGGTGGAGACCTGAACTCGAGACCTGCTCCTCCCGTCTCCAGACATCAACTTCAACGTGTCAGGCCTCTTCTCAGCCCTCGCCCCTCAGGACAAGGTCAGCGACAGGCCTGCGTCTGAGGAGCTGCCCCCTGTTGCTGTGCCCACCCCAGCTGCCACCCTGGCCCCAGCCCCAGCTTCAGTGGCCCCCAAGGAAAGGTGAGGAGGACGAGCATGCGTGGCCCTCTGCCGGCCCTGCAACGTCAGCGAGGCACCCTCTCCTGGGATGTGGGAAATGTGATTATAGCATTTTCAGCCCCGAGCCTGGTCCCCCAGTGTGGAGGGGGTGGTGGAGACTGAGGCCATGCCCCTCAGCCTCGCGCGTCCCCTTGTGTGGTGTTGACGGAGCACCTGCTGTGTGCCGAGCACGCTCCAGGCCCTTGGGATTTAGGAAACTGGGAGGAGACTTTTCTAGAATTGATGTACACCTTCTAGTCTTCTCCCTGCTCCTTTAAATCTGGAAGAGATCGTGGGCATGCTGCCTCCATAACCCAGCAGGTAGCACTCAGGTCCCGCGGATGGCCGGGTCCACACCTTAAATGTCCTCAGATGAGCCCGTCAAACACTGCCCTTAGAGCTCTTATTCCAGGCCACAAGGTCACACGGCAGGCAGGGACTCAGAGGTCACAAACCCTGGCCAATGCCAGAAGCATCTTCCCAAGGAGATCTGACTTGGGGACACATCCCCAGCACAGCCACAAGGTGACGGGAGTGAACTGGGGGACCCACTCTGCCTGAGTCTCCCCAGGATCCCGGTGACTTCTGGGACACAGGCCAGCTTGACCCTGCTCCTCTCCTTCCTGTGGCAGGACAGAGGCTGAGGCCCCACCCCGACCAGCCTCCCCCAAGGTCAACAGAAGCCCCCCAGAGACAGCTGCCCCAGCAGAGGACACGGCTCGGAGGAGTGAGTTACCTGGGGTGTAGGCAGAGAAGGGGACAGAGGGTGGGCAGCCCCAGTCCAGCCCAGCTCTTGAGACCACAGGGGCCAGGAACAGAGGTGGTCAGAAGCCCACGTTTTGCCACCTGGGCAGTCCAGGGTCAAATTCCAGTTCTGTGACCTTAGGCAGGTGACATCATCTGCCTGGGCCTCAGCCTCATCTTCTGTGAGGTGGCACAGTAACCGCCCCTACCCGGGAAGGCTGTGTGGGAATGAGCTGGGGAGTGGGGCTCGGGTTAGGCAGCGTGAGCATGGGTGTGTCCTGGGCCCCCAGAAGCCCAAGACCACGGAGGGCAGAGGGGCAGGGCGTCTTCAAAGGGGACGGGGAGGGCCCCTGGGCACCTCTGGTATGTTCACCTGTCAACCTGGCTGAGGTGGCCTGGGGAGCAGGTCAGGGGAGTCCTCCCCAGGCCATTCAACCCCGGGAAGCCCTCCCTGCCAGGGTTCCGGAGCTTTCCACCTGGTATACTCTGTTGAGCTGAGAGGCCCCGGAGCAGTGTCAGGAGGTGCCAGGCCGCGCAGGGACCTTCCTGGAGGACGGGGAAGATGTTTGCTCAAAGCGGGCAAAAGAGTCACCCCAGGTCCCAGCCAGTGGAGCTAGGGTCAGGGTCCAGGCCTCCTCCTGGCTCCCCCCAGCCCTCGACTGCTTCGGGTCAGAGCTGTGCGGGGGACGGTCTCTGAGAGCCGGAGTTTCTGAGAGGGGAGAACAAGACCCAAGTGTCATGGGGACAGGTGGCACACGTTGATTGGATATGTCCCCGCACTGTGCCCACGGGCTGATTAGGTGGCCATGCTGGGGTCAGTTCTAGTCATGGGATCAGGCAACCAGCGGCAAAGATCAAAGGGTCAAGGTGATTTCAGAGGACAAGTCCAGTGAGGAGAGAAAACTGGGCGACGTGGCAGAGGAGCAGGGAGGGACCGGGCTGCTCCTCTAACCCGGTGGCAGCACAGGGGCTGGAGGGCTGAGGAGCTTGACAGTGACCAGAGGAGGGGCCAGCTGGGAAATCCCCGGCAGAGGGGGGCAGTGTGTGGCCAACTGACCTCGTCCCCCTCCTTCCTCCGCAGCCAAGCGCCCGGCGCCAGCCAGGCCCACCATGCCACCTCCACAGCTCTCTGCCACCCGCTCCTCCCCGCCAGCCCCGCCCGTGTCCCCTGGCTCCAGCAGCCCTGTGACACCCCGAGCTCTGCCCCGCCGTCTGGTGGGTAGCAGCCTCCGGGCCCCCACTGTGCCACCCCCGTTGCCCCCTGTCCCCCCTCAGCCAGCCCGGCGCCAGAGCCGGCGTTCACCACCCTCTCCTGGCCTGGCCTCCCCGGGGCCAGCCTCCCCTGACCCAGTCTCCATGAGTCTGCCTGCACAGGCGGACCTGGGGGCCACCACAGGGGACAGAGGGGTCCCTGAGGCTGCAGCTGCGGCCCCCAATCCCCCAGCTGTGCCCCCTCAGCCCCGGCCCAGGGGCCTAGCCTCGGAGACCGATTGAGCAGGCAGCTCCTCTCTGGCTAGCCCTCCGCGTCCCCTCCATGTCCCCTTCCGCCTGGACCTCCCAGGACAGCCTTGCCCCTCCCAAGGAGTAGCGACCTCCAGCTTCCCCCCACAAGTGCCTTTGTGCCCACTGGGTCACCCCCACGGCCAGGAGGGCTCAGGACAGTCCTCCACGAAATTGCCTTTTCCTTGTCCAGCCTGGACCACCCCGACTCCTCACTCTCTGGCAGGGTCCCAGGGAAGCCACCAGAAGGAAGGACAGGCTTGCCTGCTCATGAGACTTATTTTTCTCTTGCCAATATATTTTTTATAAGGCTGGTCAATAAATTATTTTGGATAAAACTGGAGCCCTGCCCTAATGATAGTTTTTATTTTTTGTCCTCAAAATAAAGAAGCCACTTTATAAAGGGAAGAATGACATGTCCCTTGGCTCCCTTCTTCCTTCCAGTCTTAAACGCTAGCAGCCAGCGCCTCCGAAGCTGCGCCCGCCCCTGCTGTGCTTCTCTGTGCAGGTTCTGTTCAATCCCCCAGGGGAGTGGATGCCCTTAGCTCCTGCAGGGGAGGAGGTTGAGGCTGGAAATAAGTGACTGCTAAGGTCACGCAGCCAGGCGCGGGCCTGGGACCGGAATGAGGTCTGACGATTCCCCACAGCTGCGCAGTTCACTCAACTTCCCGGGAACACTGATTCCTGGTAAGAGACAGTCCCACCACGATGGTGGTGTTCTGAGGGTCGGGGGACGCTCCTGTGAGCACCAAGCACCACCTTGTGCACAGACACGCCTGGCAGTGCTGGCTGCTGCTACTGCATTTCCCCACCCCGGGCCACGGGGGGCAGGCAGGGCTCCCCAGGAGCAGGAAGGGATCCTTCACAACCTTCCCAAGGCTGCTGTGTGGCCGGCCTGCGCTGGCTCCCCAAGTCAGGCCTGCACCCAGGAGCCTGTGTTAGTAGCCTAGTTAGGGGGGACCCCCAACAGACCCTGAGGTGTGTTCAGGGGAGGGTTCATCAAGGAAGAATTCCTGGGGGAGGCAGCATCTAAGGAGAGTCCTCCAGGAGCCAGGCAGGTGAGCAAGTCGAGGAAGAGGAGAAACATTCCAGGCAAAGGTCAGAGGCCAAAGGCCCAGGGCACTGGGGAATAGAAAGTAGGGGGGACTAGGGGGTGAGGGGAAGAAAGGGTTAAGCCTCCAATGGACACCGTGGCCCACACCTCTAATCCCAGCTACTCAGGAGGCTGAGGCAGGAGGATCGCAAGTTTGAGACCAGACAAGAATGGGATCGTAATTAGAATAAGATATACTCCATGTATGTATAATATGTCAAAATACACTGCCATGTGTACCTAAAAAGAACACATTTTTTAAAAGAAAAAAAAAAAGTTTTGAGGCCAGCCTCAACAGTTTAGCACCCACAGCAATTGAGTGAGACCCTGTCTCAAAATAAAAAATAAAATGGGCTGGGGGCTTCCCTAAATTCATTCCCCAGTACCAAAAATAGATTGGTCTGGGGTTGTGGCTCAGCAATAGAGCGCTTGCCTAACAAGTGCAAGGCCCTGGGTTCCATCCTCAGCACCACATACAATGAATAAAATAAAAGTATTGTGTCCAACTACAACTAAAAAAAAAAAATAGTATAAATAAAATAAAGTTTTGTGTCCAACTTCCACTTAAAAAATAAATATATATTTTTAAATAAACTAAATAGATAATTAAAAAGTCATCGAACTGCTAGACACAGTGGCTCACACCTGTAATCCCAACTACAGGAGAGGCTGAGGCAAACTCGAGGCCAGCCTTGGAAACTTGGTGAGACCTTGCCTCAAAATAAAATTTTAGCTGGGCGCAGTGGTGCTGTTGTAGGGACAGACGAGACAGGGCACCGAAGACAGCAGGAAACAGTTTTACTTGGCTGCAGCCAGCTTCAGAGGGCACAGCTTTTGCTGTAATCAGTCAAGCCCCTGAACCCCGAGTTCAGGGAGTTTCAGAGTTTTATCCCCAGCGTGTAAGGGAGGGGCTCAGAAGCTCACAGTCTGCAGAAGTTCACATAAAAGCAGCTTTTTCTCTCTCTGTTCTGGGCAAGTTAACCCTTCGAGGACAACACCTGAGAAGGGGAGAGCTTCTGCTCCCCTCTCTTTCCTCCCCTGCCAGCTGTCACCATGGAGCCCAGTTGTAACTTATCTTAAAAATGTAGACAGCTCTGTGAAGCCCAGCTCAAGGCCAGAGGCCTGGTTTGCACATTTCTACAAACTACTATATTGGATACATGTTTGTGAAAAACTAGTCAGGGAGTGTCCAGCACCTGGAGTGCTGGTATCTTCTCGGCCAGTGGCCAAGTAAACAGGGCGAGGCGAAAATAGGAAGTTTATCTACATTGGACTCTTTCGCAGGGATTCTTTTGCTGACAGTCCTAAAATCAGCCATGGTGAAGAGGGCTTTTCTGTGGAGCAAGGGGGTGCCACTTCAGTGCATGCCTGTAATCCCAGCAGCTCAGGAGGCTGAGGCAGGAGGACCGTAAACTTAAAGCCAGCTTCAACAAAAGCAAGGCACTAAACAACTCAGTGAGATTCTGTTTCTAAATAAAATACAAAATAGGGCTGAGGATGTGGTTCAGTGGTGGAGTGCCTCTGAGTTCAATCCCTGGAACTCTCCCAAAATAACATAAAATAATATAAAAAATTTAAAAAGGAGCCAGGGGTATACTTCAGTGGCAGAGTGTTTGCATAGCATGCAAGAGCCTTGGGGTTCACTCCTAACTCCTCCCCCCACCGCCCGCCAAAAAAAAAAAAAAAAAAAAAGCATCGAACTGACATTTCAGGCCTTAAGCATCTTATCAGATGTAAATTACACCTAAAAAAATAATAAGTTTCCCAGGGGACTCTACAGCACGGCCAGCATGGAGAACCACTGGCCTAAACTAAGGATCCCCGCGTCTAAGATACCATGTGCCTCTTGTCCCAACATTTTTCTCAGGATTTGCTTAGAATTGGACCACGGTCCAGAGGTCAGTGAGATTCGAGCCCAAAACGTCTCTCCTAGCATCTGTTTTCCTCCTAGCAACCACTTCTCCTAAGCTTGTGATTGGCTGGCGACGGTGAGGCTTATTTGCTCCACGTCTTCTCTTCATAGCTCCTTATTTGTTAGAACGAGCATCCGTCTCCCAGCCTCCCACCCCTTTAAAGGAGCAAGTGGGAGTTGAAACTAGCCTCCACTAACCCAGCAGAGCGAGGGGGCGGGGCTAAGGGCCAAGCCGGTTTTTCATTGGTGCCCTCCTCTCGGTGGCGGCAGCAGTGCCGCCCCTTTCTCCAAGTTCTGTACGCTAGCGGCCGCGCTCCTCTCGAACACTCTTGCTCCCATTGGCCGCAGGCCAAGCCAAGACCCCGCCCCCTGCCCTTCCAGCGCACTGATTGGCCTGCACTTCGGGCGAGCGCGCCGTGCCCGCGGAGGGAGAGCGGCACGGGCGTGCAGGCAGCCAGCCGGCTGCATGGCGCGCTGCGAGCGGCTGCGCGGCGCGGCCCTGCGCGACGTGCTGGGTCGGACGCAGGGGGTCCTGTTCGACTGCGACGGGGTGCTGTGGAATGGCGAGCGCGCCGTGCCGGGAGCTCCGGAGCTGGTGGAGCGGCTGTCGCGGGCCGGCAAGGCGGCGCTGTTCGTGAGCAACAACAGCCGGCGCGCGCGGCCCGAGCTGGCCCTCCGCTTCGCGCGCCTGGGATTCGGGGGGCTACGCGCTGAGCAGCTCTTCAGCTCCGCGCTGTGCGCAGCGCGTCTGTTGCGCCAGCGTCTGCCCGGGCCGCCGGACGCGCAGGGCGTCGTTTTCGTGCTCGGAGGCGAGGGGCTACGTGCCGAGCTGCGCGCCGCGGGGCTGCGCCTGGCAGGGGACCCCGGCGACGACCCGGGCGTGGAGGGCGGCGCGGCCACGCGCGTGCGCGCCGTGCTCGTGGGCTACGACGAGCACTTCTCCTTCGCCAAGCTGAGCGAAGCGTGCGCGCACCTGCGTGACCCTGAGTGCCTCCTCGTGGCCACCGACCGCGACCCTTGGCATCCGCTTAGCGACGGCAGCCGGACCCCGGGTGAGCGCAGAGCTGGCAGGGAAACAGGTAGAGGGGTGACCACCCACCCCTGGGGGCGGGTACAGGTGGCCAACAGGAGAGATTGGAAGGAAGCCCCCACGCAGCAAGAGCCCAGGGTGCTTTGTGTCCGCACCTGGTAATTCCTACCTGAGAGGGGCAGTGATGGGGTCCCTGTTTGATGATAAGCCCAGGGAGTTAGTTAGATAAGCAGGTGGAATCCAGGTGTCCTGGACTTCCGGAACTAGCCTCCTGGGCTCCTGTCATTCTTGCCTTATCCACCATGGGTTCGGGTTTGGAGAAACCTGGAAAGATCGTCTCCTCCCCCCACCCCCGTGGGAGGGTGGGAATAGCATTCCCAGAGGCAGGCTAAGGCAGGTGTGTGGACAGCAGGCAGGTGGAGTGTGACCTGACTTCCAGCTCCATTTGTACACTGTGTAATCTTTTTGGGTTACATAAGCTCCAGGAGGCTGCCTGGGTGCAGAATGGAAATGCTGGCCACGGCCAGTTACACCTGAGGGAACAGTGATGCAGGGGGAGTGACTGGCACCTAGTAGTTGGTCAGATGGTGCGTGTTGTAGCCGAGTCCTCCCACGTGTGAGGAGCGCTTCATGAAGCACATTGAAGTCTGTTTTCATTTGATTTACAAATTATTCCAGAGATGGGGGCTGGGGATGTGGCTCAAGCAGTAGCGCGCTTGCCTGGCATGCGTGCAGCCTGGGTTCGATCCTCAGCACCACATACAAACAAAGATGTTGTGTCCTCCGAAAACAACTAAGAAATAAATATTTAAAAAAAAAAAAAAAAAATTATTCCAGAGATGGGAGTATCATCCCCCTTGCATTTTTTGATACCAGGGATTGAGCCCAGGGCCACCGAGCCACATCCCCAGCCCTCTTTTGTATTTTATTTAGAGGCAGGGTCGTCTTGCTGAGTTGCTTAGGGCCTTGCTAAGCTGTTGAGGCTGGCTTTGAACTTACGATCCTCCTGCCTCAGCCTCCCGAGCTACTGGGATTACAGGTGTGCGCCACCACACCCAGC